CTGACTACTGACCCCTGCTGTCCCGTAGGGACTTGATCCCACTCTCTTCTACTGTATACATTAGCCTTCTCAAGTATTTCTCCTTAGTCTGTACTCACCCCTGAAGATGTGAATTACACGAAAGTGCTTGGGAACTTCGTGTTTTCTTGTTTCCTTGTTGTCATCAGCATATAGGTTAGGTTAGGTTAATAGACGCTACAGTGTAAATATCCCGGTAGACCAACTCCAGCTCCGTAGACAGCATAGTATAGTAGCACCGGTGTATGTATAAGAACATAAGAAAATAAGGAGACTGCAATAGGCCAGTTGGCCTGTGCATGGCAGCTCCTGTCGAGAGTTACTACCACTCTCTATCATTCATGAATCTATCTAGACTCCTTTTAAAACTTTCCAGAGTTCCAGCACTTACTACAAAGTTGCTAAGCTTGTTCCACTCGTCCACCACCCTATTTGTGAACCATTTCCTTCCTATCTCCCTCCTAAACCTAAACTTATCCAACTTGAATCCGTTGCTACGAGTTCTATCCTGCTCGGATATTATAAGAACTTTATCTATATCTTCTTTATTGATTCCTTTCACCCACTTAAATACTTCTATCATATCTCCCCGTATGTTTGTTTGTATGTATGTATGTATGTATGTATGTATGTATGTACTGTATGTATGTATGTATCCTCACCGGAGTAACACACACACACATATACCATCCAAACACATTTAAGTCAACAAACCAACAACTACACAGAGACGAAACACGTTATATATCCCCTATAATCAGCGAGTGGCAGAGAGTAAACGATACCTAATAATACAACGGTAGCAGGGCAATTATTAGATCCCTCGCGTAGAAGACAATATAATCAGTCAGGTCAGGACGCACCACACACACAGACACCTTCAGAACGAGACACTGACCAGGTTAGGTGTTAATGGCCAAGGAGAACACGTAAGAAACGCTACAGAGAGAGAGAGAGAGAGAGAGAGAGAGAGAGAGAGAGGGGAAGGTGAGACAGACACACCTGGAGACCTAACAAGCTGATCCAACTAATTAAAGGTCCCCAGGCGTGTTGGTGACTGATCCCCGACCCCACCTCTCTTCTCTTCCTTTTCCCCTCTTTTCTCTTCCTCCTCCTCTTTTCTATCCCTTCTCTTCCTCCTCGTCTTTCCCTCCCTTCTCTTCCTCCTCCTCTTTCCCCCTTCCCTCTTCCTCCGCCTACTCTTCCCTCCTTCCTTTCACTTATTCCTCCTCTTTTCCTTCCCCTCTCCTCCTCCCCCGCCATTACGACACAGTTCTGCCACTGATTGTGTCGTCACACTCAGAACATGACACCACTCATATCTGGGTTACCTCGTTATCACTGTCAAAAGTGTGGCCGCTAACTGTTAGCAGACTGTGCTTAATCACACACACACATACTTATTATTCCTATTATTATTACTGTTATTATTAGTAGTAGTAGTTATTATTTTATTATTACTGTTATTAACATTATAATCACCATCGTCATTATACACTGGACATCACAACTAGGTTACTGAATTCTGACCTTCGACCCACGGCGAGAAAAGCAAAACAAACAAATAATATAAACTGTTACCAAGGCCAGAAACTCCAGGCCATTTACTTAACACTCAAAATAACGCGTGATAATTCCCCACTAGGAACCTCGAGGGGGGGAAATGGGTTGTATAATACTGTTACATAAAGTTTCTAAAGCTCACCGATCTGTAATTTACATAAGACTTAATTGAAGAAGGTCAACTGTACATCTTAATGCTATTAACACTTTAATTGATCCTTAGCGAAGGTTATTAAAAAGGATTAATTATCTCCCGGTAGTCATATAGTATCAATTATTATTATTTTCTTCATACTTAGTTCACCAACGTCTACAGTATCTTCAGGCCAGAGGCGTGAAGAATAAACAGCAACAACAATAATAAAATATAATAACAATAATCAGTTAACCCAAGACTCACATTAACAGAGAACCACACACACACACACACACACACACACACACCGCGAACAGTACCGTTGTCAATAACTTTTCCTCAAATAGAACAGTTACGAATCTGAATTCATAAACAGGTCACTTGAGGGGTCATACTGTGTGTGTGTGTGTGTGTGTGTGAGTGTGTGTGTGTGTGTGTGTAACGAATGAGCAGTGACCGCTGTGCCGGACAGTGTCAGACACGGGCTCACCACACACCCGCCAAACACACACACACACACACACACACACACACACACACACACACACACCCTTACAAGCTCATACAGTATTAATAACTAAAACCTGAGAGAGAGAGAGAGAGAGAGAGAGACAGAGAGAGAGAGAGAGAGAGAGAGAGAGAGAGAGAGAGAGAGAGAGGAGTGGCATTTCCTGAACTAGAAGAGAAGGACAAGGAGGAGAGCAGCAGCATGGACTGGCCCGGCTGGTACATCCACTTGAAGAAATTACTTCCTGCCTTTACTGACCTGTCTACTTCCCACACCTACTTCCTTGTGTACTTCTCACACCTAGTTCCAGGTTTACTTCCCACATCTACTGTCTTATCTACAGTCTACAAATGCTCCACTACTTTCCTTCTATACTTTCTCTTTCATACATCTACCGTCTAACTACTGTCTACCATCTACCCACTACTTTCTACAGGTAGTTTATATTCTACCACTGTCGTCTACCGTCTACCGCAATCTACTACCTACCATCTATTAGTGTCTACCATCTACCATCAATTACCATCAACTACCATCTACCATCAATTACCATCTACCATCAACTACCATCAACTTCCAACTACCATCTACCATCTACCACCAATTACCATCTACCACCAACTACCATCAATTACCATCTACCACCAACTACCATCTACCACTAACTACCATCTACCACCAATTACCATCTACCACCAATTACCATCTACCATCAACTACCATCTTCTACTAACTACCATCTACTACTAACTACCATCTACCACCAATTACCATCTACCATCAACTACCATCTATCGTCTACTCGACAACTTCCACGATATAATTGCTGTTACAAAATCAACCTCAATGATCGCCAGAGGGGGGGAGGAGAGAGGGAGGGGAGGAAAGGAATGAAGGGAGAGAGAGAACTGAGGAAGGAGAGGAGAAAGAGAAGAGACGGGTAGAGAAGAAGGGAGGAAGAGAGGAGGAGAGGGAAAGGGAAAGGAAACGGAGAGGATGAAAGACAGAGAGAGAGAGATTGGAAGGGCAAATGAGAGGAAAAGGGAAGAGAAGAAGAGTGCAGGAGAGAAAGGAAGTGAGAGAGAGGGGAGGAAGAGAGAAAAGGGAAGAGGGGGGGAAGAGAGGCTGGGGCAGGGTGAGAAGGGGTGACCACTTTTCAACGCGTACTCCAGTAGCCTAGTTCCGTGTGGTCAGTAAGGGAAGGGAGGGGAGGGGAGAGAGGAAGGGGTGGGAAAGGAGTAAGAGAGGAGGGGAGGAGGTGAAAGTATAGTTGACGATAGTGGAACGGAGAGGAGAGGAGGAGAGGGGGGAGAAATAACAGTGGGAAAGTGGGGTGGACATCAACGGACGCTACACCCTCCCCTTACTTCCTCCTTGTGTGTACGTCATTCACACACTTCACCAACTCCGTCACACACACACACACACACACACACACATTACCACAGCCGTGTAAGCTTGTTATGCCTCGACTCTACTGGACATAAAGACACAGTTAAAAGCTTCGTATTAGTGAGATCCAATACTATAAACCTTTTAAACTAACGAGATTCGAACCCCCTATAACGCAAACCTCTGCCTTAAACCTCCACAATAACGCAAACTTCCCGTCCCAAATCTCCGCAATAACGGGGTGAGGACTCGGAGACAGCGCCGCCAACTGACCAGAGGTAATTTGTGGCGGGAGGAATTCCTTGTGTCGCTTCCTGTATTGTGCCACCTCCCGTGTGAGTGTGTGGGGGAGAGAAAGGTGGTGGGGAAGAGAAGGAAGGGGAAGAGGAGGAGGTAAGGGGAGAGAAGAGGAGGAGGTAAGGGGAGGTGAGGGAGAGGACAGGTGAGGAGGGAAGGAAGAATGAGGATGGAAGAGGGGAAAGAATGAGGAGAGAAGGAGAAAGAGGAGAGAAAGGAGGGGATGAGAGGAGCTTTCTCAAGTCAACAAACACTATTAATGAGATTCACTATTAGAGACCGAGTTCCTATTGAAGCACTTGTTGAGAAAGGTTCTATTGCGAGGTTTTGGTAAGTACACACGGCCATTCACGTACAGACTACACCTTAGCGAACACCACGTACAGATAACCACGACCATATACAATAAATCACTGACACAATCACGAACAGCGAAAGCCAATAACCAAATTAATTTCCTTGTCCTTATAAATTAATGGACGAATTCCTGGTAGGATAAAGTGGAGGGAGGGAGGGGAAGGGGGAGAGGGGAGAGGGAGGAAAGAAAGAAGAGAATGGAAGGAGAGAGAGAGAGGGGGAATGGAGTGAAGGAGAGAGGGAATGGAGTGAAGGAGAGAGGGGGAATGGAGTGAAGGAGAGAGGGAAGAAGTGGAGTGAAGGAGGGAGGTAGAGGGAGCCCACCTAGTATAAGGGTGACTCAGAACACGTGAACACACACACCTGACCTTAACCAAAGCGGCAGTTCTTACCTTAATACTGTAGCAACACACCAATGTTTAGGTGACACGCCGCTCATGTTTCACTCCTGGGTAAACGGCGCACGCGTGCGTATGTACGTATGCGTGTGTGCGTGTGTGTGTGTGTGTGTACGAACAAGAACCCATACATGCCCAGTACCTACCAGCAGTACCCGACAAAAAAATAACCTAACCTAATCACCCGACACATTAATCCGACTTGTGGAGAAAAAAAAAAAAAAAACCGACGATATTTTCATTTTTAGATCATACTTTACTTCATAACTCACCTGTGTCTGTCAATCAACAGGTTGGTAATTACCTGAGAGAGAGAGAGAGAGAGACTCACCTGTCAGTTAAGCCGTCAATGTCCTCCGTCTGCTCGGCGAGGGAAGACTCTAGGTCAAGGTAGGTGCCGTAGTCCCCGTCGCGGTACACCTGCAATGTGGCGTCGTCCAACTGTCGGCAGGAGAAACACCTTCATTATTTACTGTGGTACACTTACTGAGTACAAGTCATTATTTACTGTGGTACACTTACTGAGTACAAGTCATTATTTACTGTACATTTTAGTACACATCACATCACATGTATAATGAAAGACAAAAGTCGTGTCGTGAAATTTGGTGAAAACATATGCCGAAGAGCTAAACTTTTGGTGCTCTCTGCCTTGTGGCAGGAGGCTCTCATACTGTTTCACGAGTTATATTTAATCTTCGGATAAAACCGTGACACGACTTTTGTCTTTCATTGTACATGTACTGAGTTTAAACACCGTGCTGTATAATCAAAAGTACATTTTCACTATACACTCACTGACTACAAACATAATTACTCACAAGGCCACATCTCAAAACTCACACTCATAACGCTACAACCTGTCACACATAATCAACAACGTCACTCATAATCAACAACGTCACTCATAATATAATCAACGTCACTCATACCCTGTAACTCACACAACTCATAACAGGCGACACCCACACCTCAAAACTGGATAGATCGACCAACAAGAACCTGGCTGAGTGTACACAGACCTAGGTGTACACAAACCTAGGTGTACACAGACCTAGGTGTACACAGATCTACCCTCGCCCACCTGTGACCCCCTCTACGCCCGCCCACCTGTGACCCCCTCTACGCCCGCCACCTGTAACCCACTCTATCCCCTCCCCGCTCACCTGTAACCCACTCTATCCCATCCACCTCCTAAAGTAGACCACGCCCACTCCCCCCCCCCCACAACGACCTCAACTCTCACTACCCCTATACTGACCATCAACTATCAATTACTGAGCCAACTACCGCACGATACTCCACCCTGATTGGTCTAGCGGCCCTGACAATTTCCTCTCTGATCTAATAACGTTAATATCAAAATTCATTCATTTATTCTTTCACGGCTTGTACATAACTCTCCCTACAGTGTATTAACAAGAACTACACAACTACTCCGTCATAATACAACCTGTAGAACTGTTCAACACACAGTAGCGTACAGTACAGTAAGGGGAACATGTCACTTACCACACAATGACTGGCCCTTTCCTCACTTACTACACCACTACCCCTCCTCCCTAACAGGCAAATGAAGCTAACTAGTACACGATAACAATCACGTACACACACAGTTTGACCTCTTAGTGTATTGTCATTATATATTTTTTGTTCTCGAAAATTACAGGAGAGGCGACTGGCCCAAAGAGGGGTGTGGTAGCAGTGTGAGGTGTCAAGGTAACCTAGTGTGGGTGGGTAGGTGGGTGAGATGGGTGGATGAATGTATAGATAGGCGATTGATCAGACGGATAGACATATAATAAATACTCTATGTGTATATATGGACAAAGAAACAGATAGATAGATAGATCGATAGATAGATAGATCAGGTCAACGTTCGTCACACACTTGTAAGAGACCTGACACAGTAACACGTGAGGACAACCTAACCTAACCTAACCTAACCTAGCCTAACCTAATACGAAGATCTTTAAGGTAGTGTGGATAAAATTTTAGGTTAGGTTAAATTACATCGTGGCGTCCCCTCCTCCCTGACACCGAGGAGAGCTGTGAAGAACTGACGTGTTGTATAGCTGGGGAGAGACGCGACGCCTCCATGATGCCACGCCCCCACGACGACCAATTGCCACGCCCCCCTACACCCCCACGCCCTCAGCATCCCCCACGACCCCAACATTCCCCCACACCACCACGCCCCCAACATTCCCCACACCACCACGCTCTCCCACACCCTCACGTATCAGGTTAATTATGTCTCCTAACTGGTGACAAGTTAATGAGTGTTGGGGGAGGGGAGGAAGGGGTGGTGATTGTTGGGGGAGGGGAGAGGAAGGGGTGGTGATTGTTGGGGAGGAGAGGAAGGGTGGAGGGATGATATGAGGTTGGAGGAGAAAGAGGGAGGGTGGGTGCCAGAAAGTAAAGGAGTGAGGAGGTGAGAGGAGAGGAGGAGGGGTGACGAAAGAGGAGGAGGAGGAGGACGTGGGAGAGAGGGAGGGAGGGAGGGAGGAGGAGGCAGTGTTGTGAGGCGGAACTATCTCAAGCGGTCACTATGCAGTTGATGAGAGAGAGAGAGAGAGAGAGAGAGAGAGAGACTGTCTAATTCACACCCAAAAACAATATTTCTTTCTATTTTAGTTCTTTAAAGAGGAACCTCAAGACAGCTACTGTAAGGAGACACCGTAAACACAAACAACATAACAGGAATATGAAGGTGCAAACAACGTCACGTGTATAAACATTATGACAGGCGTAAACAAAATCACGTCTTAAGATCGAGTTAGTGTTTACACATGTGACGTCACACTCAACTTCACAAACCCATGAATGGATGACGTCACGATCTGCCTCACGAATGCATGACATGAGAGTCGCGATGATGAGCGCTGGACACTGTAGGCGGCGCAGCAGTGGAAAGAAGCCAACTGTATACACGTACCCTAGTCTGTATACAGGCATGGAAACCTTACCTCCAGGAAGACTTAACATCCCTATAACAGGTGCAACACAGAGCGACTCAACTAACAACCCTACAGACAAGGCATAATTGGGGGAATCTCTTAGACATTCAGTATCTTAAGAGGGAAGGAAAACGTGAACTCAGGCCATTTTCGTGATGTCAAGCACCACCAACACGAGGGAACACAGCATCAAGTTATCATGTAGGACGAACACAGAGGCTGGTAGACCTATGGAACGGTCCACCAGCTCAAACTGTGGAACAAGAGCAGTAGTGGACAAAACTATCAAGAACAATGGTGGGATCCTATACACGCCACCGGTCTCCTTCACAACCACCTGGAGTAATTAAGGTAAGTAAATAAGTAAGATAGCTGTCACCATCGATACTGTGACGATAAAACAACAGCAAAGTTGAAAATGATGGATTGAAGGTAACATGACAGAAGTTGATGATTGGCGTCACAGTAGATTTAGTGAACTGCACGACCGTGAAATTGACAGTAAAAGAGGCGGTAATGGTGGGTGATGATTCTGTCCTCAGGTGCTGGCACTAACGCTACCGTGGCTACCTCCAGCACACAGCCTGCCGTCTGCTCACATATTATTACCGTTATTATTTTCCTTAGTAAACAAGGAAAGATGTTTTGAGAGAGAGAGAGAGAGAGGCTAACGTTCAGACTATAAGACCAATGACAGGAACACGTATCATTACCAAAGAGAAAAAGAGTCACTACTACCACCACCACGACCCCTACCTGCATCACCATCACTACCACCATCGACACCATAAATAAACCTTCACCATCACTAACAACACGCTGTTGAGAAAGACAATCTCAGCGTTTAGTGTTGTCAGCAGAGGTGAAAGTCTACCACTGGTGCTCAAATGTCACCCTTACATCACGTAGTCATTAGGTCGGCTCTCCCGTGACCACAGCCACTGGTCAGTATGAATAAAATAATGCACTATGTGTATTGGGGAACAGTGGAGGGAGTAACTACTGTGGGTGGAGGGAGTAAATTATTTAGTGTGTCCTCATAGTAAATTATTTAGTGTGTCCTCATAGTAAATTATTTAGTGTGTCCTCATAGTAAATTAATTAGTGTGTCCTCATAGTAAATTATTTAGTGTGTCCTCATAGTAAATTATTTAGTGTGTCCTCATAGTAAATTATTTAGTGTGTCCTCATAGGGGAATTATTTAGTGTCCTCATAGTAAATTATTTAGTGTCCTCATAGTAAATTATTTAGTGTGTCCTCATAGTAAGTGTGTCCTCATAGTAAATTATTTAGTGTGTCCTCATAGTAAATTAATTGGTGTGTCCTCATAGTAAATTATTTAGTGTGTCCTCATCGCAAATTATTTAGTGTGTCCTCATAAATTATTTAGTGTGTCCTCATAGTAAATTATTTAGTGTGTCCTCATAGTTTAGTGTGTCCTCATAGCAAATTATTTAGTGTGTCCTCATAGTAAATTTAGTGTGTCCTCATAGTAAATTATTTAGTGTGTCCTCATAGTAAATTATTTAGTGTGTCCTCATAGTAAATTAATTAGTGTGTCCTCATAGTAAATTATTTAGTGTGTCCTCATAGTAAATTATTTAGTGTGTCCTCGTAAAAGAGCTTGATAACCACTGTAAGTAACTATGGGTTGAGCTATACTAATTAACGATACGTTGTAGGTCTCTCTCTCTCTCTCTCTTTCTTTCGTATATTTTATCCCGTTTTCTCCATCTCCCTCTCTCACAATCTCCATCTCCCTCACACGCTCCCTCCCTCCCTCACACCACACCTCTTTACTCCTGATAATCAAGCGACCCAACACCTCCACCCTGACCCCCACCTTGAACCATTACCTAAGTGGGGGAGCAGGGGGGGGGAGGGAGGGTAGGGGGAGGGGTCTTTTGGTGATGACTCTTTTCTCTCCCTCTCTTCTTCCAACCTCTCCCCATATTTTCCTACTCCCCACCTTCTCTTCCCATCCTAAACCTACTAACACCCCACTTCCTCCCCCCCACCCAACTCTTCTAACTCCCCACCGCTTCTCCCCACTTCTCCCATATACCAACTATATCTCTCCTCTCCCCTATTCCAACTCATCTAACTTCCCACTCCCCATCTTTACTCCCCACCTACTCTCCCCTATCTCAACCTTTCTAACTCCCTCCCCTCCCCACCCAAACCCTCCCCCCTCCTACCCCGCAAGACGTACACCCCGAAGGACTCCTGCACCCTCAGGATATTCCGGAGGCTGGGTATACCTGGGGAGGGGAAGAAGGGGGAGGAAGAATTAGGGAAAGATGGGGGAGAGGGAAGGGAGAGTGAATAAAGGAAAGGGCGAGGAAGGGGGAGGAGGAAAAGGAGAGGAATCTGAGAAAGATGGAGAAAAAAAATGGAAGAGGAGAAAGAGAGGGGAGCAGAAGACTGGAAAAGGTGGAGAAGGGATGGGGAGAGGAGAGAAAGACAAGCAGAGGAAGGAA